TATATTTATTACTACTTAATAAATAATATATATTATTAATATTACTAATATTATTGATAAATTAATATTAATAATATTTTTAGAATGAAAAATTAAAAATTAAAATTACACATATATTTATATTTATTTATACTAAGTAAACCATTAAATATAAATTACTATCTCCTTTTTATAAGATATCCGTTAATTAATTGACAAGGATCAAAGAAATATGCTAATTTAGTAAGTAGTTTTAAATTTTTCTTAAATTTATTTAAAGTTTCTAAATTAATGATATGCACCGCAAATCAGAATCAAATGAAATAATACACAATATTATTAATAATTTTAAAAAATAAAATAAATTACAATATAATATATATGATAGTTCTATTAAATTAATATTAATGAACATAACGAAAAATTAGATTATACTAATATATATTAGTAAATATTTATTATTGATATCCAATAAATATTTATAATAATTTAATATTAATTACTAAAATAAAATATTAAATAATTATAAATCAATAAATATAAAATCATTATTGAATGAGAAGTTTTTGTTTCTCAATTCTCCTTTCACATCTATGCATTTTTATTTGTTTTTTTAATAATAAATAATTATTAAAAATAAGCTTGACTAATAATATTAATATCAAAATATAAAATAATAACAATAAACTTTTTTCATCAATTCAAATATACTAAAAATAAAAAATAAAAAATATTAATATCACTATAAAATACATACCCATTTTAATAATTATACATGTCAAAATACTTTTCATTAATATTATCCAAACAACTTTCATTTCAATAAAGTACCTTTGAAATAAAAGTATCTAAACATAAATCAAGTTATACTAACTAAACTTAAGTTTATAAAATTAAGTTCAACTAAATTTAACTTTTTTTACTTAAATCCAAACATGCACTAAGATTTTGTAAATGCTTTTTTACAAGTTTTGCATGTCACATAAACATGCTATTATTTAATTTTTAATAATAATCAGTGAGGTGAAAATATTTTTGTGTTTTTATTTATTTTTAAATTTTTTTTTTTTGAAAGTAAGTATAAAAGATGAGAGTCAATAAGATGAAAAATAAGATATGGGAAGAGCTAGAGAAGAAAAAAATAAAGAGAATTGTATGAGTAGTGAAAATTTTTATTTGCAATAAAAATGTAACTACGACATTTTTTTATAAAATATTAAAAGATTAAAATGTAAAAAATAAAATTTTAGATAAAAATAAATGAGTTTAATTTTTATAGAGATTTTGAAAGACAAAACAGTTCTATTAAAAATAGAGACCAATAATAGTTTGAGAGAAAAAAATATTTTTATTTATTTATTATTATAAATTATAGATAGACATTATAAATAAATATCAATAAATCCAAAGAAAAAAAGTTCAAGAACCTATACTCTAATACTTTATTTGGATTGAGAATGAAATAGTTAAATAAAAGGAAAAGAAAAATAGGAAGGATACAAATGACAGAAAAATAAAGAAGAAAAAAAAATATTATTTATATAAATAGAAATAAGAATGAAGGAAGTGAAAGAAAAAAAAACTTTTACATGGATAAATTGAAGAAATAGTGAAATAAATTTTATGAATTTTCATATACTAATTAAAAAGTTAAATTTAGTAAAATATTAAACTTTTTATTCCATTTTTTTTAGCATAAAATAGTTTATTATTTTTTAGCATAATATCTTATATATATATATATAAATTATTTATATATTTAAGAAAATAAAGGTAAAAAAAGAAAAGAAAAGAAAAGGTGAGGTTTTCCTTTTTTCTCATTTCATACCAATTTGAGAGGAAATTTTTACTAGTGATGGCAAAACGTGCCAGCTTGGCTTGCCATTGGCCTGCCAAAAACTGGCTGGGCTGGGCCGGCCCGACAATGTAAAACAAGCTGGGAATACTGGCTCGCCCCGTCTAAGGACGGACTGGCGGGTTGGCGGGCCACATAAAAAAAATGGAAAAAAAATATTTATGTTCAAATAAATTTTTTTTGCTACAAATAAATAAATATAACCATATAAAATTAAAAATACATACATATTGTACATAATATATGTTCAATAAAAGTAAATTACAAACTTAGAACAAAATCAAATAGAAATTAGTCCACTTACACCAAAATCAAAATCAAATTATAAACTTACAAATTACTTATAAACTAAATTTTTTGATAGTCCACAAAACAAGTTCAAATACAATTAATTAACTTTGAATTTTTATTTAAGAATATTAGAAACTCTCTTGAAAGAAGTTGTCTTTACTTTTTTTCTTGATCATCTTCATCCTCATCTTCTACATTAAAATAAAATAAACATAAAAATAATTAAATTAAAAAATATATATATGCGGGCCGAAGAGTTGTGAAATGATGGGCTTGACCCGTCAATTTTTGGCGGGCCAACGGGCCAGCCTGCGGACCACGACTCACTTTGCCATCCCTAATTTTTACGAGTTTTACAGAAAAACTTCTCCTTTTCCTATTTCTGTTCTTTAATAAATTTAAAATTTCTTTTTTTTTTAAATCATACATCTCTTCTTTCCGTTTAATTTTTTTCTTATTTTCATAAAAAGGGGTAATGGAGTTACAACGTGAAAAATAAACATGAGCTGGCAGTGATCATATAGAGAGATCTTACATTAACTCTATGTACGTAGCGTTGTCAATTCTTGCATTTTACACACTAGTGGAATAATGGAAATAATTATAAATGAAAAAATATTAAATAAAACTGTAATTATATTTTAAACAAAAAGAAAAAGAGAACAGCAAGGAAAGCTATTGATTTTAGGTAAAAAATGTGTGCTGAGATTCTGAGTATAGTCAAATAATATCGATCTTCGTTAGTTGATATTTTCTGAATAATTATGATATTTGTATGTTAAATAATTCATCTTCCTTTGTTTTTATCATTCCATAATATTTTAATCATGAGAAGATATTCCTGAAAAGGGAATAACCAAAAATTAACTTTGACATTTTGCTTTCCACAGTTGACAAACATTCATGTAATTATCATATTTCTCTGCTTATTATTTTATATTTTCCATATAATAATAAACCAAAATATTATTTAAAAAACGTCGTTATTTTTTCATCAGTCAGATTTTAATATAAATTTAGAAGATTATTGTTTGGTAAATAAATTTAATTAGAAATTTAAATCACTAAATCAAGGCATAATTACTTATAAACCGGAAAAAAATATATTGACAAATATTAGTTTTTGTATAACACACTAGTTTATACCTCATTATATATGAGTATATAAAGAAAAGAAAAAGACCACATAAATCAATTTATACATATTATTTCAATTTAATTAGTTGTAATCATACAATTTAATAATAAGGTTAAATTATATATTATTTTATCTCATTTTTTAAATTTATTTTAGTCTTTTATTAATTAATTTGTTACACTACTCTTTTATCTTTTATATTTAGATAAATTTATATTTTTAATTTTGCGATATGATTTTAAATTAATTTTTGACTAATTTAATACTTGAAAATAATTATGATACTAGATTTACTTATATGAAATTTAAAAAATTCAATAGGCATTTGAATTTAAAAAATCTATAAACATAATAAAAATATGTGAAAAATATATCTCATAAATAATTAAAAAATAATATAAAATAAATATTTTTTAAAATTTTGTAATTACATTTTAGACTTATTTTTATACAATCTTTATCATTTTTATAAGTTTTTTGGTTTCAATTTTAATTGAATTTAATAATATTCATATATTTAGATCTAATGAGACGAGATTCAATTCTAAAATCACTCAAAATAAAATTTAAAGTTATGTTATAAAATTAAAAATAATCATTATTCTAAAAAAGACAAAATCTATTTTTTTTTTCTTTCCAATTTTGGATTTCAAATCTATGTGCTTTCTGGTTTCATTTCATGTATATCACCACGTGAGAGTTGTATGGTCATCTCACCCCAAGATGCCAACTCAGATCCTGAGAAATCTCCTCACTCCTCAGTCCTTTATTGAAATAATCATATTTCAGTCACATCACATCACATCAATATTCAATGCAAACTTCAAAATGAAACCTTAAAACCCCAAAAGCAGTGTCCTAAATATTACATTCCCCCTTGTCCCCACGATGTCTCTAACTCCCAAATCTTGTCTTCCCATATACTTGTTGGTTCTACTTCTCCTTCCCCTGATAGGGACAGCAGAGTATTCTTCCCTTCACAAGGTCCTCAACAGCCATGGCTTGCCAGCAGGGCTCTTCCCTCAAAGTGTCAAGTCATTCAACTTGGACCAAACAGGTCGGTTGGAGGTGCATTTGGGTCGTCCCTGTTTGGCTCAGTACGAAACAAGGGTGTTCTTTGACAGTGTGGTGAGGGCTAACCTTAGTTTTGGACAACTAAAGGTGTTGGATGGGATGTCTCGAGAAGAACTTTTCTTGTGGCTACCTGTGAAGGATATCATAGTCACTGATCCTTCCTCGGGTCTCATTGTTATTGATATTGGTCTTGCCTTTAAGCACCTTTCCTTGTCTCGGTTCGAAGACTCTCCAATTTGTAGATCTCACTCAGGTACATCACCTACTCTTTCTTTCTCTTTAATTGGTTCATTTCAGTTGATGGATGATCATATGTCCCCAATTCATTGAAACCTTTCATTTCAGGAGGAATTACTGTGTAGTTTGAGATCATCGCATACTCATGATTCCAACCAATTTTCATGTGATAAGTAACCAAAATTTTCAATTTACGAGAAAGAATTATTAAATCCACTACTAATCATATAAAGATTGGCTGAAACCGTATTGATTGAACGTATAATGATTTTTCCTCGATCATTAAACCCTAAGCACACACACTGTCTATCTATCTATAATATTCATTCAAACACTATCTTTCATCTCAAACTTAATATAATTTTTTTAATTCTTTAAACAATGATAATAATTATTAATATTATTAATTATATTCTATGAACACACATATCTTTGATCTCAAATTTAATGCAATTTTTTTTAATTCTTTTAACAATGATAATAATTATAAATATTATTAATTATATTCTATGAACACATACATTTTAAAAATTAATATAGTTTAATAATTCTAATAAAAAAATATTTTTTAATGTTTATTATCTACCTTCAATTTAGGGAGAAAAAGTCAAGACTACCGATATCAAATTAAATAAAGCTTATTAAAATTTAATTTTTATCATGAGGATACAATTTTTTTTTTCTTCCATTGATGCTCTTTTAAAATTTTCAACCATTGGTTTTCAAATAAAAAAGTCAAAATTAAATGAATAAAATAGTAGAAAGTTATTTCATATTTTAAAATTTTCTCCAAGACAATAATTGATTTGCTATATGCACGATATTCAAATCCAAAACAATTAGTTTTTTTTACGAGAACAAAAACAACTAATCCTAATTCAATTGAATTTGTGATATAATTACTAGTATTCTCAGTAAAATAATGTTTATAAATCATACTATATTTTATGAAATTTAATCTATATATTAATTTCAATGTCATTTTTTTTATATTTGAGTTCAAAGCTAATGTAAAAATTTTAAATGGGTAATTGAACTTATTAAATAACCTACAACAATATCTATCTATATACATGTTTTTAAATTGCATAATTTAACTAAGAAACTAACTTTACATAATTTAGCATCACTTAAAAAAAATTGTCATGTATAGACACATACTCTTTTTAGCGACACAATATTTGTCACTAAAATTACTTTTATCTATCCTATAAATGTAATATAATTGATATATTGTTAAAAAGTATAAATATATCCTATATGACACAAAATATGTTGTTAAATTACATTTAAAATCAATACTAAAATTGTGTACAGGTATATGTCATGTAAATTTATACCTCTATATAAATTAAAGTTAATGCTTAAAAAATATTAAAAAAAACTTAGGATTTTAATGGAGCCTGGTCGATTCATTGGGCTTTATGGCTTCCATGGCCCTTGACCGTTACTATCGTATTTATGTTTTTTTTTATTTTTGTTTAATATATGGAAAATAATTTTGATAGCAAAATTGGATGTGGAGTGCAGGTCTCTTGCTTAAAGTTGGTGGAAGGAGGGGAATTGGATTTAAAGATCAAAGATGAAAGGTTGTTCATTTTGCTAAGAATGGCTTCTTCTCCTTTTCAATTTAGGTTTCTCTTTTCTGGGTTAAGGGTTTCCCTAGAAAGAATTATGTGAAGAAACGTGCAAACCCAAAATGTATAATGCTATCCAATAATTGCATGAACTGGATCACAAGATAATCAATATTACTTGCAAGAGAAGAAATTGTACTCTGTCCATTAGGATCAACTTTTAAAACGTTGAGGAAAACTCTAATTCAACTAGTAAGCACTTGTTATATATATGTGTATGTAGTCCTTTAATTTGATCATTTTTATTTTTCAAATTTCAATATTTTAGCACTTGTTTTTCAAATTTCAATATTTTAGCACTTGCTCCAAGTTTAGATTGAAGGACTAAAATGTTGAAAATTTGAAAGTAAATTGATATAATTAATTAAGTACCAAATTGATAAAAATAGATAAATTAAAGACTAAAATAAGATTTATTCCTTTTTTCATATAGTCATGCAATGAAATTGTATTCATCCTTTTTTTACTCAACACATATAATTTGTTCATTAATGCATGCATATTTTCTTTGACATACTGCACAAATATTTTGTATCTATTGGGGGTACACTTAATCTTCTCATATCTTGAGGGTCGAACAAGAGCTCCACACCGAGAGACAAGGGAGAGGTACTTCGACACTCAAGTCAGAAAAAACACGAATATTGATAGTAGCAATAAATGGACAGTAATCATACCTCATTTTGTGTGACTATTTATACTAATTGTAATGGACGTAAGCATGGTGGGTCTCATTCCATGATTACCAAATTAGGTAATACGGTGACTAATGACGAATTATCTCTTAACCTTGTATTATCTTCGTTAGTCATGGTTTATCATAACAAGTCGCTAATGTCATCATTTTAGCCTTCTTGATCCTTGGCAAGATCGAGAGGACGCAGACCATTTGGTGAAAGCCATACATCTATTAGTGACCAAGATGTTCGGTATGCTTGAACGTCTCATCTGTATCGACGATCGAGGCAACCGACCTCTTGCCTGGGATAAAATTGTGTTTGATTGTCTCGGTCACCGACATGCCCGAGATGATCTTAAGAGTCATTTGAGAAGACACTACAATGCACGTATGTTCGAATGTCTTAACTGTCGATGTGACCGGGACAAGGTGACCGAACGATTAAGTGTTGAAGTAACTAGGAGAGTTGGTACATGGCGTGACATGCTCTATATCGCGACACGTGATCGTCTCATTAATATAAGAATATAGTGGATGTTTAAACAAACCAAAATGCAAATATTTTGTTCTCTTTCGTTCTACCTTTTCAATTGATTAACCTTATTTTTTTCATAATTTTTGTTTATATTAATATGAGTTATACAGTAGAATTCATATGTTATGCATTTTTCTTTTTCATATATGTTATGCATGTTTGCCTCTATTTTAGCAACGAGGGTGTGACTTGATCACGTTTGATAGGTTCCTTATGCTTGAGGGCCGGATGGGCCAGGAGGGTGCAAGGCTCAGAATTTAGAGACATATTGCTCTAATATATATATGTTTCATGTGGAGTTATTCAATGGGTTTGATTAAAAAAAAAACGCATAAGGATAACTTTAATGTAATTAAGATTTAAAAAATAATAATTTTTGATAAATTCAAAAGATATTTCTGTCAATACTATGGTATTAAAAGAAAAAAAAATAAAATCGGTGACAAGTCGTTCAGAAGAGAATGAATGAAAATGTTGCATTTTTTTAACTTATTTTTGGAAAAATAAGAAATGAGTATGAAGTCTAAACCTTTTAACATCAAATAAATTATTAGTGTGTCAAATATTAAAAATCACACTAAATAGTTACTTAAGTATTGAAAAATCCTTAAATTAATCCTGAAAATTAGTAAATTATAATAACAAGGATTAAATTGATGGACATTAACATAAGTACTTGTCCTTTACTTACACTTGCACGATCGCGTATAATATCATTATAGTCCTGCTTATTTCATTATCAATGCATTTTTCTTGAAATTTCAATAAATTATCACAGTTTTACCATTTTTCAAGCTCTGTACATGCACCTAGAAACGGGGTCGAAGTATTCAAATAATTTAACTAAAAAACTAAAAAATTAACCCAAATCCATCGTGTCAAAAAACATCAAATAATGGTTTATCAAGTTTTAACTCCAAAAATAGATAGATGAAAAAAACTGGATTGATGACTTTTCATATATGCTCCATTTAGTAAAAATGAATATTTTAGCTTAATTTTGGGATATGGATATCAATAAAAATATACATAAATTAGCAAAAGTGCTGGTCATTATTGTTAAGTGTAATAATTGACTAATGAATTGTTAATAATTCGTGTATGTTTGGTTAGATGTGGGTTAATTTGCTAAGAGTGCATTGAGTGGGAAGCATTAATTTGTTTATTCAATGTTATTTTCCTTCGTTGATGTGAAATTGGGCAGTAGTGTGTGAAATTAACAAACTGTGTGTTGGTTTTTGATTAGTAATCCACAAAATCACGATCCACAGAAAAGATAGAAATTTATTTATTTATTTATTTTTTATTTGGTGTCTTTAAAATGTGTATTTTTTTTATTCAATGAAACTCAATAATATAACAAAAAATGTTTTGAGTGATGTTTAGTTTCACGCTAGATTATTAAAAATTATGTTGAAATATTAATTAGCATATTTTAGGTAAATTTTACTAAGCAAACAGTTATTTTAGTGCTTGAAATTTAAACACAGAGTCATATTAATCTATGAATCAAAAGAATTCTTTTTTTAAAAAAAGTCCTTAAAAATATAAATTGACAATTACATTAGGTTAAAATTGAAAGAAAAAAAAGTGATAAAGAGATAATATTAATATATATTTATAAACCAAAATAATCATAAGTAGTTAAATTTAAAGTTTTTTTTACATATATTTTAAGAACTTATTTGACATTTTCTAATAATTTTAGGAATTAAAATAACATGTTTCTCCACTTCTAAAGTTAACAAGTAAATTGATAATCACATTGATCTAAAATAAAAAATGACTAAAATGATAAATTATAATGAGTAGTTAGATTTATAAATATATTTAATATTTTATTTATTTTAAAAACTAATATAATATGATATCGCCTATAATTTTCAAGAATGAAAATTTACAATATTTTTATCCTCTTAATGTATCATGTTAAACATATATGACTTGATTTTAACAGTCATGTGATACTAATGTACAAAAATTTAAATTTATTATACATAATAATTATAGAATTATATATTAGGTCAATATTAAAATTTAGAACATTATATCAATATTTATGATTAATTGTTATAAAATACTTATTTTTTTTTTTTATAGATATCTTTGTAATAAATTTCTTATCACAATGTTGGTCCCAAACTTACTTATATATGTCAAGAACAACTCTTTCATCAGAACTATTTTTTGTCACGGCCGTCTCTTAGATTAAGCAAAACTAATAGTCACAAAACTTATAAGAGTCTTGTGGGATCCTATCTTTTCAATTTCTAAAATTACAACTTAATATTCATCCATCATACATATTAAAATAATTAGACTTCAGATAAAAAAACTTAACATACTTGTTTATTAGGCTTGACCCAATAGTTAGGTATACTTACACAATGATTTCCAAACCTGTACTGGGGAATTCAATATCCCTTTGGTCAGTGCACAACCCGAAAGGGTATTCGGCCACAAGGAAAGTCGGATACTTGTCACCACCGAAGTCACGTCACCCTAGGTCGAGCAGCCACCTAGTCACGAAGGCCAAAGGTCGAGTACCAGTTCGGCTAATGCATAACCCGAAAGGGTATTCGTCCATAAGATAAATCGAATACCCCCTATTATTGAAGTTACATTACACTAATTTTGGTTAGATAATAGAGGTTCACGTCGGCCCAGATTAAGGTATGAAACTCAAGTTATTAATCTCTTAATCAAAAAGGCCCATCAGGCCCAAATAAGTCACTATAAATATAATATTGATGGGACATAAAGGTGGGTATGATTATTTAATACTACAATATTTATTACTCTGTACCGAGTACTAACTTGAGCATCAGGGTGCCTTTGCAAGTACCATCCCCCCTTTCGGGATAAGGATTCAGGATAATATTGATGGGACATAAAGGTGGGTATGATTATTTAATACTACAATATTTATTACTCTGTACCGAGTACTAACTTGAGCATCAGGGTGCCTTTGCAAGTACCATCCCCCCTTTCGGGATAAGGATTCAGGAAGTTATCACCTCAGCTTGGAAGAACATTAAGTGTCAGAGAGCATCAACGTAAGAGTGTTTCCCAGTAGGAACATTTTAGCGCCCATCGTGGGGCTGATACCTACACGATTTCGACCCCCTAAGTCAAGATGGTAGCAACTAGAAGCCAACAAGAGAATATGACTATCAACAACTTGGGAATGCCCTGAGAGCCAAGGCAACCAAGAAATCAAACCGAAGGAGAAGGGATGGAAGAATCTTACGAAGACCGTTCTCAGTTGGCTAACCCATCCTCAACAATAGAACAAATGAGAGTTGAGATGATGGAGCTTAGGAGACTCCGGGAAAAGGATGCTCATGAACTCTCCGTACTAAGGAAAGAAAATATCGAGCTCAGAAGTGACAATCGATCGTGGTAGCCCACTTAAGGTACTCCCATCACTGGGTTATCTTAAGACCAAGACGAATCTTCAGGGTGGTATAAAGAGCCTAAGCTCTCCAACCAGCCCACCATAGCTACGATGATCACATTAGATCAACAAAGACAGCAAGGAAGAACACCTTTCGCCCTAGAAATAATAAATGCCCGCCTACCAAATAATTGGAAAAGTCTAGCTTTGGATAAGTACAACGGAACACTAACCTAGATGAACGCCTTGATGCCTTCATCACCCAAGTCAGCCTGTACACCGAGGAGGACACTGCATGGTGTAAAGTATTCCCTATGTCTTTGAAAAGATCTACACTAAGCTGGTTCACCAAACTCCCCCTAGGGTCGATTGACTCCTTCACTACTTTGTCAGCACGCTTCAATATCCGATTCGCCACAAGTCGACCACACAAGCTCACCTTCATAGCCCTGATCAACATTTGCCAAGAGAAGAAAGAACCTTTAAGGGCTTTCATGGAACGATTTGGGAAGAAAACACTAACCATCTAAGACCTGGACCCAGTAGTAGCCATGCACCATCTTACCACGACACTACGACTCAGACCTTTTGTGAATAGTATATGTAAAA